CCTAATTTCTTATTCATCTTTTTCTCTAATTTATCCTTTCTCACACTTGATTTGCATACAACACTCAAATTGACGGTGGCGGTCGAGAGACAGAGCTCCTGTGGCTAGCGGCTGAGAGGCATGCGTCGAAGGACGACTGATTGCAGCGACCAACGATTCATACGGTTTATACAGAAGAACGTCAGTTGGACTTGGGATTTGGAAGTGTTCGTCTAACATAAGATACAACTTACAAAATATTTAGAGGTAACAAAATAGCCAAAATTCTAGTAAAAGTTACTTTACCTCAAACCCTTTTGCTCCAAATATTCTTTTCCTTTCAATTTATTTGCAACACCTTTTCAAATTTTTGGTTTAAGTTGGTTGTACTTTGTGCAAGCTTGATCGGTAGCTTGCTAAAAAGTACGGTCAACGTAAAGTGACGTCTCGTCAGGTATGTTCAGGTTGTCAGCTGCATTAAATGCAGATGTGAGAGGACATCTTAATTTTGAAAAAAATATCTCATACAAAGTGACCGATTAGACCTTTGTAATCTAGATCCTTGATTCATATTTTAATCCAAGGGTCCTAAACGGTTAGGGCAAACATAAATATTCCATCCCCTCCCAAGATGGCTCACTTTTTAAAAAACTTACCCTAGGTGCAATTTTTCGACGTGGCTCAACCTTCTCCTTCCGACAACCTTTTTCTGCCGACTCGACCCTTTGCCTCCAATGACCCAACCTTGGCAACTCTACCCTTTTTCGGACAAAATATGGGTAGGCTTCTTTATTTACCATAACTCATCATTGCACATTTGTCATTCGCACACGCCAACATGAAAGGATGAAAATGAAATCCAAAATTTGTGTCGCGACTCGTGAACCATTACTTTGTCGCAAAACATGAAATAATGTTTGAAATTTCTATTCGATTTTATGTAATTACACCAAATGTAAGGGAAGTTTCTGAAGTTCGCATTCTATGAATCAAAAGTTACTACACTAACTATGATTTTCCCAAGTAAGTTCAGAGTAACTTGAGCCATTTCTAACCTTTAAATTCAAAATATATACAGCCTCGCGAGCATTATGAAGAACAAATACTTCACAAGAAAAGAAAACAAAAAGAAAAGTTCAGGATTCAAACCTTTGAACATAGCAAAGAAAAATGCAAATTACAACAACTACATGAAAATCCCTTCAAACTCCCAAGCTCCTACAACCAGTGCCTTTTCTTCACAGGTCCAGATATAAGAAAAAAAATGGAAAAATCAAAACATAAATTCATTACTAAAAAACCCTACTTAAGCTCCATAATCCAACCCATTTTGTCCTCAGCAAGTCCCATTTGAAGGCTGGTAAGAGCCGAATAGAGTTGTTGCGACACACGGCCAACTCCTTCATTTCCATAACTTACCCTGCACCAGACAATAGAATTTATTTTATATAACAACGTAGTTAAAGCCAAAATCAATTTTCACATGTTGCCATACATTACACAAATTGTTGCATGAATATATGATGGAACATATGGACAGAACATTTAGAATATTTTGTATTCGGATAGATTAGATTGGAATTCTTTCAATTATAAATTTTGCCTACGCATAATCCGTTAATTTCTATCATTACAAGTGTTAAGCTAAATTTGGCCCACCTTATATATGTGGTTATCAAGAATCCTCCTACCAAAGGATGAGAAAAAAAAAATTATGTCAAAAACAAAAATTAAACCCAATCCTGGTCCAACCCACCCTGCACTCTTCCCGACAAATGGGAGTGATACGTATTTTTTCTTAAAATCAAACTGCAGCAATATTTTCTTATACTTTTATCGATGACAACACATTCATTTTTTAAAACAGTAAAAGAACTTAAAGTAACCTTTTGTTGCGGTATGTGATGCTGCCCACCGGTGAGACCACAACTGCAGTTCCCGTACAGAAGACTTCATCAGCATCGAGCAAATCATCCACTGTCACCAGGCACTCCTCCACCTACATGAAAAATAAAAAAATAAATAAAATTAAAAATTAAAATAAATAAATAAACATGTAAGAGTAAGATGAATTATAAGATAGTCGATCTGAACGAATTTTCATTTCACAAATCGACAATATGCCTGGTAGAAAAGTGATAATTGCTCAACCAATGAAGATGTGAATATCAGCAGACTATCACTAAACGGAAAAGATCACCTATAATAATGCTCTTGCGTATTAAAACTAATTTATTAAATAGCATTACAGTGGTTCGACTAATATCTGGCATATCCAAACTCAAATTCCTAGGTAAGCAATGTTGATTATCAGCTTACTCGTAACGCCTAGATAGGCAGTTATACGTTAATTTTGGTAGTTATATAATATCCTATTTGAGTTAATTGAAGCCTGTGACTGATATCAATTTAGTCCCTTACAAGTAAAATCTTAGAAAACTCCACAACGGATTTAAGTACCTGGAATCCTTGACTGAGGGCAACATCGAGTATACTCTTTCTTGTGATGCCAGGCAAAATGGTCCCTTTTATTGCAGGAGTAGATATCACATTGCCCTGATTATATTAGTAAATCAACTTTGAGAATCAAATCAAAATAACAGAAATTTGAATGACTAGAGGTTATAAAAAAAAAAATCATGTACAATATATAGAAAAAAGAACACAGAAGCAGCTAAGGCAAAGTCAAACATCAAAATGTACCAAGTTTTAACTCAGTGAAAGTAAGATGCACTAAAACATTGTAAGTTAAATAGAAGACAGCGTACCTTTACAACAAACACGTTGCAAGAGGATACTTCTTCCAAGTACTTTTTGTGAATGCTATCTAAGTACAGAACATCAGAATAGCCCTTTGCTTTTGCGGCACTCTGTGCTTGTAGAACCTATACATTGTCCACCAAAATACGCAAGAGTTTGACAACATAAATAACATAAAGATTCCAAAAGCTGAGTGTAATGGAGATTCACTTAAGCTATTTACATAATTTGCTAACCCAAAACTTCAGACATCAGTAAGAAGAAAGAAATAAGGTTAAACAAGGGAGATCCTAGTACATAAATCCTTTTACTGTATAAATGAATAGCTAATCGGCAAACATGAGTAAACAAAAATGGTGTAAAGGAAGATTGCTATGCAAACAGTAAAGGCATATATAAACAGGAAGATTGTTCCTATACCAAAAAATAAATAAAAATGAATAAATATGAACAAGTCACCCACTGCAGCATAATTTCCTATAGTCTTGACACCTCCAGTACCACCAGGAGTTGCTCGATGCAATTCAGTCTCGACTATCAAATTGATTGGGGCCAAACCTTCCTGGAAACAGAACAGATAATTTTAACTGCCTCATAATAGTACCATTAGGCCCCAGACAAAAATTGTACAGACACAGAAAATATTATGAAACAGCACAGAGGGCAGTAGATAAAATCATAAAATGATTTAACCGCATGCAGAGAGAAGGAAGAAATGTTGTCTACAAAGTCATTCATATAATTTTCATCATTTCTATTACTAAATGAACACATCAAAAAGACAGATCATCCAAGTATTTTCCAGAACGACCCATTTATCACAAACTATAAAGAGGATAAAGAGCAAAATCAAAACAAAACCATATCCTTTTAATAAGAAGATAACACAGGAGAAGCCATTTACCTTGAAATAGTTTCCGACAGGAGAAACATAAATCAAAAACGTGTACTCGGGAGCCGGTGCAAGGCCCAGAACAGCACCACTCCCCATAAGCAATGGTCTTATATACAAAGAACCTTTACCAGGTGGGGGAATCTGAGAGTTGGCATTTGAATGGTCTTAGTGAGTTCAAATCATAATAACACTAAATAAAACAAAACAAAAACACTAAATCAAATCATTACCCATCTTTCATTTGCTAAAACAGTAGATTTGACAGCCTCCACAAACTGCTCCACAGTTGGAGCAGGCATGCACATTCGTTCTGCACCCATTCTAAGTCTTTGGGCATTTTCCTCTGGACGGAAAAGTAAAATATTGCCATCACTTTTTCTATAAGCTTTTAAGCCTTCAAACAAGCCCTACAATTATAAAGTGACACTTACGAAGAGATTGGGTATAACGAGAATTCAAGAACCAAACACATTATTTCGGAGAAATTTGATACTGAAACAATTACCGACAGAAACAAACCTGTCCATAATTCAAAATGCAAGCAGATGGGCTCAGCTCAATATTCCCAAATCGTTGCAACTCGCCTTTAGAGAAGGTATCCCCTTGGGAACACTTCATGACATACATGTAATCAGTGGGCATAATCCCAAAACCAAGATTGTCCCAATCAATGTCGGCTAATTCTGATGCTACACTGCTGCCAAATCAAAATTCAAACCAACCCAAATGCTTCAATAAAAGAAAATTCAAATTTCGAAAGGCACTCATCATCCAATTGAACTGAACAGAGGTACCTAGCAGGCGAGGCAACCTTAAGAGGATTAACATTGCTATTGCTGCCAGAAGAAGACGAACGCGATTGCTTCTGTAGCTGAAGACCCAATTCATAAGAGTAAGAAAACAAGCATCTAAAACATACAACAGCATGAGAAGAACAACATAAATTAGGGGAAATCCATTTCGACAAAATGTGGCATCAGTTGCTGCAAAAAAACAAGTACCTGGAGAGGAAGATGGTGAGAAGAAAGGATTTTCCGGTGGGCACACAGAGGAGGAGGAAGTTTAACGGCGCCGCGAGAAGGGCCGAGAAGAAGGTGGTGGGACGGCGGCGGATTTGGGTGAAGCCTAGCCAACAAAGCGCCGCTCTCCATTTTTTTTCTTTCGTTTCTCTCTCTTTGACCAGTGTCTCCCTAGAAAACGATGAACGTGAAATCTAGCAAGTGATTAGAAAAACCTCAACTTGGATTTTGCGGAGTCTGGATAAAGTTATGTACTGTGGAATTATTCTAAGGTGGGGACATAAAAAGAGAAAAAAAACAAAAAAAAGTGTTCGTGATTTCTTTTCAATTATTTTATTTTATATATCTATACTTATATAATAAGAATTAACATTTTTCAAATTTAGTAGGTCAATTCTTAGTCAAGATCCGGTATGCATTAAATAGTTACCACAAACAGAAAGTTGTTTTGTCCTTTTCACACCATAATAATAACGCATTAATTAATTTACATTGCAGCATTAAATAATTCATCAATTATAGCGTAGCAACCATTCCGCTTTTTATGAGGAGAGCTGATTCAAAATTTCAGTGGGTGGTTGTTTGATTCCACAAAAATCGGCCTTCACCCGTTAATGCAGCCGGCATCAGAAACTGCAAAATTAAAAAAAAAAATCACTATTCGATTTAAATTGTAGTAATATATTCACTAAATTGATTAAATATAGGATATTTTAATGATCTAAATTTAATCTTAATTTACTATTCAAATTTTTAAGTATCCTATGTCAATATAAAGTATAAAACTTCTTTTGTAATTTAAATGTTGAATCGAATAAATTATATAATAATACATTTGAAATGTTAATATTTACTATTTTTACTAAATTTATAAAAAAAATGAGTGCTTAATTAAGTTTGTTATTAATTTCTTATACCAGAACGTGTTGAATATTTTTTTAATTAACAATAGTCTAATATAAGGTGATTAATATGTCTAACAATCTTTAGAGAATATCGGCATCAAATATTAAGAAGTCTAGACGCACGTTTTTATTTTTTGTATACAATCTCTACTTAAATTAAAAATGATATTGTTTCAATTTGGTAGGACTCTTTTTGATAGAAGATATTAATAAGTTACATTATCCTGAAATGCGGACTAGGTGAACTCCTCAACTACACAATTTTCCAACGTTTTTAACACGATTTTTACCTTTCCAACATAATCTCTACTTAATCAGAGTTTTAATCAAACATGCAATCTATTATTGGTTGGAAAGAATCCCAATTTCATGGGAATTCAAAATTTAAACATATATGACACGGATTAGTCAAATATATTATTTCATAAATTTTACCGATTTATTTTGAAAAGTCCAAATTCAACAAAATTGTCCAAGACGACAAATTGGCATAGCCTGAAAACAGATCTAAGGCCAACTTATGGGAATGCCCAAACGACACCCCTAACATACCAATACTAATACAGAACCAAATAAGATAAAAAACAACATCTAAAACAAGTCAGGAGCATAATGAAAGGAGCAGATTAAATGACATTTTGCTAGCTCCTTTATCTTCATCACCAGTTTAGCAAGGTGTGGGTCAGGCTCCAAGTCTTGAGACAACAACCGAACTACTTTGTGATCAAGAACATAGCACAGAAAGTTTTTTCAAATATTGTTACCACTTTGAATTTTATGTTCTCCTGTACAAGCTAATTTTTTATGGTGTATAATAAACTGATATAGGGTAAATTATATCACATGTTAACCTCACATTTTTAATTTATAATTATTATTCAATTTTGTTTACCCTCATATTTATTTTATAATATTTTTTTCTTGCTCTTCTAAAAGAGGATCAATAGTGGTTCCCCACTTCTTTCATTAGGTGATTCGAACTCGGCACTCATCTATAATCAATATTTAATATTGTTACCCGTGCATAGCACGGGCTACACACTAGTTAAAGAGAAGTGAGGAAATTTTCTTCTATAATGTAACAGAGTGAATTTTATAATGAGTGTTGGAAAAATCAAAGAGGTCCTGCATTTTAGTTGGTCATTAAAATTGTTTGGTTTAGACCAAAATGGGACATTTGGTACATGTCACTATTATGGAATAATTTCTCATGTATTATCGCCCACTTTTTACGAGTCAAATAGCACTATTATCTACTACTTCCTATTTTTTTAAATATCATTTTGACTTTATTAACTATTAACCAAAATAAATATTATTTTAGATCTTTTGTACATATTTTTCCATTATTACCTTGATTTAGTTAATAAATTCACTATGTCTTTTCGTATTTTCTTCATCTGTTTTTTTTAAAACATCTATATCTATCTTCATTAATGAGGGTTATTATTGGCAAAAAAATTATTCTTAATTAGTGTACAATTTTCCAAAACAACACTTATTATGAATAGAATGGAGTAGTTTTTATGTCTATTTTATGTCACCTACACAGAATCAAACTCAATGCATTATGTTTCACATATTGCTAAAAATATAGATATGTGCATTTTTTTTTAAAAGTACAATTTTTACACGGACAAAAAAAAAATAATTTTTATTTTAAATGGATAGAGTACAAGGTGGTTCTTATTTTAATATTATTTTATAACTACTAAACAGTGGAATTTGGACCCTTGGGCCATAACCACTAATAAGTTCATCGTCTCAATTAAAATCACCGCTCTATTTTTGGAAGTATATTGTAATAGCGATTTTGAGCTCGAACCCAAAAATTATATCTATTTTGTTTGTTGCCGATGAATATCTTTCGAACGAATTTTAACATTCTAAGACTAGTATGCTACATGTTCCACACAGGTTATCAAATAATATATATGTCAGTGTTAACTAATCTTGCAAAGGGTTGTATCATGATTGTAATAAGAACATGATTACTTGAATAGATTCAAACTAGAGAAAAAGTCTAGGGATAATTTTATGTTTACCGCACCATTTAAAAAAAATTGCAATGTTACGAAGGGGAGAATTATAATTGCATTCCTACCAATTAGATGACATTTATTTATGTATATCTAAATATATAGTTACCAAAAAAACGGAAGAACATCCCTTAAATTGCTCTTGCGCTAATCGCGTTTTATATCTAGAGAGAGAAACATTTTTATGTCGGCATTTTTTATCTCAGTTTTCGTTTATGTCGAATATATACATGACATATACACTTTTCAGCATTTTTTATCCCAGTCTTCGTTTAAGTTATGCCGGATATATACATGACTTAATACATGACATATACATTTTTATATACATACGAAAAATATAAACAATATATATACAAAAAATATACAGTATATATACCTGCAACTACACAAACAACAAAAATAAAAGTATAAATGTACTACACATATAAAGCATATATATATACAGAAAATATACGAAAGATATACATAGTTGTCGAGTTTGGCCACAATAACAATTTATAAAAACAGAAAACTCCTGTCGCGCGCCCGCCGTCTCCACTATCGAAAGATTACATCAGCAACGCAGAAACCTTTGAATCAATATCAATCTGAAATAAATCTTTCTCTTCACTAATAGTCACTCCTTCAGCTTCTCTCTCTTCCCCCTGAGAGAGATGTCCCGTCTTTATGCACCGTCCTCTCTCATTGAAGAAGGAGATGATGTGCTGTTACTCAACTCCTAAAGATGTTCAAACGTCCGCGATTTCACGAAATCCGAATTTAAAGCCAACTTCTGCTACGGAGAATCGTCTAATGGCGACGGGGAGAAGGTGGAGAACGACGATGACTCGTCCACCATCAGCACGCTCGAGGGCCGTCGGTGATGAATAACTAGGCGAAGCCGCGGCCAAGGCCAAGCCGGGCAATCGCAGCTGTCGGAAGGAGAAGAGNTTTTCTGTTCTTTTGTTGGGGAAGAGAGAGGATCGTCTAGGGGAGAGAAATAAGGGGAGAACACGAGAATGATAAAAGAAAAAAACGTAATTAATGTTTATGTGTAACAATCGTATATGTACAAATATTTAGGTTAGAGGAAATTACTCCACATACGATACAAATAATTTTTATATGCAAATAAATGATATTTTGTTTTTATTTGCAAAGGAACGAGAATTGAGAATAAAATATCCTCGCCACGTCTTCTTCTTCTCTCTCTCAATTTATCATTTCTCCATTCTAATTTTTCCCACAAATACACATCACCATAGTTACAGCCGCCCCTCTATTTTTTTCCCTTTCACCATCACAAACACCACGCCATCATGAAATTGAAATTTGAAATCAGTTGATAAGAAATTGAAATTGCAATGAAAATCACGTGAGAAGAAACTGGAAATGCTCGACAACGATGCATTTCAACGGTCCGATTTGTGTTCAGGCATCTAACCAGATCCAACAAGAGGCCATAGCATACCAGATCTGAAAAAATAGATGGACATGCGGGCTCAAAGACTTGTCGAATTTAATCTCAAAACTAGGTAGTTTATTTGTAGATTATGATTTTGTTTTGTTTATTTTAAGAGATCCGATCAAACCTTTGACTTTTTAATGGCGGAGATGGAGCACTAACCATGTTGTAGAAGGAGGTTGGAGTCGATCTTAAAATAGTTTATGTGTAGTTTAGGATTAGTTTATTCTTTGTATATTATAATAAATGTAAGTTTATGTAATATGATCAGAAAATTTTGTGGTTTATTTTGAGTTATTTGTGTGGTTTATTTTGAGTTATTAGAAGGTATATTTCTTGTTTATTTGATGTGAAATTTTCAAATTTGTGGTTTATTTTGAGTTATTAGAAGGTATATTTCTTGTTTATTTGATGTGGAATTTTCAAATTTTGAGTTTATTTTTCTTTCAATTATAAATAATAAATTTATAATCTCCTATTTCATAATGTCTGATATAACTAAAAGAGAATTTGCTGAGCTCTCTTTTGATGGGAGTAATTATTTAACTTGGGCCCTTGATGTTGAGATTCATCTGGCCTCGTTTGACTTAATTGACACAATTGATTATAAATCCAATAGTACTCCCGCCCAGAAGGCGAAAGCACTAATTTTTCTTCGTCATCATCTCAATAAAGATTTGAAAAATGAGTATCTGAAAAAAAAAGAGCCTGCAAATCTTTGGANTTTTTCGAAACGATAGGGATATTATAGATCAAAACGCACAATTGTGCAAAAAAGCAGCCCATGGCTGAATATTACAACCAGGAACTAGAAATTGGGAGGACGGGTCGAAACCGCCTAGAGCCTCGCTAGCCACACTAGAAAAGAAACACACAACACACAACTAAAAAACACCAACACACCAACTACGAACGCTCCCCA